AACACCCGATAACACAAAGTGCCACCATGTGGATGAGGATCGCCGTGGAGAGGTCCCAGAAACCGCGTTCAGACAATTGGCCACATTTATGGCCTGCCTATATTGCGGCCCCTGGCAAAAGCCAGGGTGGGCTTCAAATAACAAAAAATCTTTTCCTAAAAAGGACGAAACAGATTTACACACCCTACTACTCGCGACATTGACTGACTTTCTACCCAACTAGGACATCACACTAAGTGCCACCATGTGGATGAGGATCGCCGTGGAGAGGTCCCAAAAACCGCGTTTAGACAATTGGCCATATTTATGGCCTGCCTATATTGCGGCCCCTGGCAAAAGCCAGGGTGGGGCTGCATGAACCTACTCGCGGCATTGGCTGGATTGGCTTTTTTACCCCACCAGGACATCACACAAGCGATAAACACCCGATGACACAAAGTGCCACCATGCGGATGAGGATCACCGTGGAGAGGTCCCAGAAAACGCGTTCAGACATTTGGCCATAATGATGACCTGCCTATATTGCGGCCCCTGGCAAAAGCCAGAGTGGGGCTTCAAATAACAAAAAAAATAACGTCCTAAGAAGGCCGTAAGGAGTTGCTACTCGCGGCATTAGGACGGTTGAGAACCACTCCACTATAGTATTTAGAAGGCGTATGCGGTTCATGTTAGTAATATTGCTTTTATCCGTATCAATATTAATAGTACTATAGTATTCAGAAAGACTAGAGTAAATTATTGCAAACTGTGTAAATAAAAGCAACACTTACTTTTCGGCTCCTTTTTTAACTGCCTCATACGATAGTTTGAAAGTCTGTCCCAAGTCTGTACCAGGTTCAGTAAACATTTGTCTCCCTTGTTTCCGAGCTATCCCTAAGATGGAAGCATATCTGAACATCATGTTCCCCAGTCTTCCGAGTTTCATAACGTGTTCAGTTACATAGAAAGTAACGTTGTTGACTGTTGTCTTGTTATACAGTGTCGAGAAACCAGCATTACAAATTCCATGAGCATTGTTTTCGTTCTTGAGTGTTTCATCACTTACAAGGCATTTGCTAGTTTCTGGTATAGTTTCTACATCAAGGAAATCTTTCCAAGAAAACTTTTGATAAAATTTCCTGAAAAAAAAAAACACAAATATTTCTTGATGAGTACATTAATGTTATTGGAAGCTTTTCGCCTTTTCCGGCGATAGTATTATATTGTTCTATAAAAAGACATGCCAAACAGTCAATGGTTATGACAAGTGGTACTAGCAAGATCAGCTTGCATTCCTTTACATATAACGCATGAGCAGTATTTCAAGGCAGCACGGTCCCTCATTCGATATGCTCTGTAGACTCCGAAGATGTTATAATTTATGATTTATCAGTTAAAAAACGACATTGTAACACTCGTGATATTCTCATTCGCATCTCCTTCCATCCTCACCAGCAGTCAAGATCAGAGTTCAGCTTTCAAGGGTACTAGTAACAGACCGGCTCCATTCTGACGGGTCTTTGAAACTGCTTTTCATCGGACACAAACACATTTCGCGGCACATCTACCCCTGAAGCGGTTTGAATACTTGAGAAAGAAGTGAAAAACAGTGCAAATTTATTGAAAAGCAGATTTGGAAAATTCTTAATTATTTCCGCGGCACCCCTGACATACGCTCGCGGCACCCCTCGGTGCCGCTGCACCCAATTTGAGAATCACTGCGTTAACGGATCGTTCGCCCGGTTTGGTGACGTCAGCAGCATTATCCGTCAAGTGGAGCCGGTCTTGCTCTGGCCGTCCCCTGAGTGTTCAACATCGGCCAGATTCTCTGACCACTCCTCGCTTAAAACTACAAAGAAAAGCAACATTCAAAACGTTTAAGTACAAAGCATACAGCAAAAGCTGATGAAACAAAAGCAGCGATCTTTCTGTCTGTCTATCAGAGCTTAGATGACGATGGTGAGAAATGAAAAGCTCTGGACTGCTTGAGCTTGACGAATTAATTGTACGTACTGTAGGCGGCGTCCGTGGCTAAGGCGTTGCGAGTTTAAGCCAGCATCGATGAAACCGCGTTGGGCTACCTTCACGACGACTGGAGGATTTTTATCATGGGACGTCGCAGGTCGACCCCGAAATGAGTACCAGGATATGCTGGGAAAGTAAAGACGCCGGCGTAATGCTGACCACATTACCCACAGAGTCTGATTGGTCTGTAACAAATATGGGACGCTTGTTATTGCCATATGCCCGAAAGAAAAGCTTGAAAGGGGAACTTTCTTTTTTCTACTGTAGCTTGCCATTTTTTTCTGAACAGTTCTCGTTAACAGTGATGTCGAAATCATATGCCGCCAGCTGCCAAATCATATGACAACTGACTTCAGAAAGCCTCTCTCTCTCTCTCTCTCTCTCTCTCTCTCTCTCTCTCTCTCTCTCTCTCTCTCTCTCTCTCTCTCTCTCTCGCTGTCCCCTCCTAGCTGCAAACAACATGTGTTAGGACGAGATGTCTGTTGTGTTTTGAATTACATTTACTTTACACTTCGTTATTATCTTTCCAATTCTCTGAAATCTGATTGTGACTGTGCATGAACCCTCAGCACTCTTCCACTAGTTGTCCCAGTGATGAGTCGCAAGGCCGGTTCAGCATGAGAGCATCGTGCGTAGGCCTATGCCTTCACTGCTCTCAAACACTTTTTCAGATGTAGTTTTCAAAGGAACCAGCTGGTAAATATTTAAGCAGACAAAAATTCAACTCCCTTGCATAACAATGAACTGCATGATTTCTTCAAAATATGTAGCCAGAAGATCTTGGGTAATACTCCAAACCGCGCTGCCCTGTCAGCTCATGCTAAACTGGTTGTCAGAAAATGCCATGGGAGTTAAAGAGCAGCCAGCAAGTGCTGATTATACAAAGATGACTCTAGCATTATATTCCCTGTGTCGTCAACATTTAGAGATGCAAGCATTAGGGATAGTACAGAGTAGATCACCACATTGGTAGAGATTAGATGTCTGTTATGTAAATGTCCTCATTTTGAATCTTCGCATAGATCGTGGGTAAAAACATTAATACAGTTTTCAGTACAAACAAACGGCACATAGATACTGG